AAGTAAATCAGCAGAAATACTCAGAATTCGATGCTGATTCCAAATATGTAAGTTTTATTGTGATTTGGTTTGGTCGGGATGATCGGCTTATCGGCCCTCCTCCTTTCTAATTTTCTGTCAAAGCCAGTGCACTCGCTATTTTTACTAGTGATTCCTAATTCTTAATGTACAAAAGTAAAAGATTGTGGGACAGATATAGAGAAGGTAATTTATTATGCGCCACGAGTATCCGTGACAAAGTGTGTGATGCAAATATCTCTGCAAGAACGAAACGATATACATCACGATAAGACGATAATGATACCACCTGCTCAAACAATCTTAAATCACACAAAATATCTGTTATTTTTTCCTTGCAAAAGACAGTCTTTCAAGCATTCCTTTATTTTATTTTATATTAAGTTTTAATCTGTTATAATCAACTTTTCTCTCTTTGTCCGAATCCTCGTCATTGATCAGATCAAATGTTATTAGTAAAAACAAAAGTGGCCCCCAGTTCCATTGCGGGTCTTGGTTTATTTGCTGTTGAATTTATTCCGAAAGGCTCCGTTATTTGGCGCTTTGAAAAGACATTTGATGTATCGTTAAGTGAAGAAAATTATTCTTCGTTAAAAAAGAATCCTGCTTTCGATTCAATGGATCCATACATTTATCGCAGCATAATAACTGGCAATTATATTGTATGTTCGGATAACGCTCGATATATCAACCATTCATGGCAAGCGAACACTGCCGATAAGCCTGGGGAGAACGGAACTCTGACCATCGCCACAAGCGATATTCAACCGGGTGAAGAAATTACGTCCAACTATGAACTATTCGATGCAGATTTTGACAAAGAACGTGATCAATATAAATGATAAAACTGTATATGCCATCAAATAGTACGGAATTCCTTTTCTTCGAATAAATAATCGTTGACAGTTTTTGCTATTCTCATTCTTGCTAAGCAGGAAAAGGAGAACAAAAGGGTAGACTGATTTTCTAATTATCATCTATGATGAACCTTTACTCTATGAAAAACAGTTCTTATTCTTTATTTGCCTCGAGTTTGTTAATGATCGGTCTGACAAAGTAATGAAATTATAGTTCCATACAATTTCTTGAGAGTGAGATGAATTTTGTCGTATCTTAGGGGTGGCTGTTTACTGTATGTCGGATATTTATGTTAATACTGTAGAAGAACCAGAAGAAGAGAACGTGCATGATAGTCTCATGCTATTAATACAATTAGCTAGAGATCCGAGTTTAACAAAAATGGATAAAATTGATCGTTTGAAACATCAATTGAGGACACTATTAGAATGATTGAATTACCAAGTTTAATGAGGCTAGTAAAAACTCCAGCAACAAAATTGAGTGTCGACGAAGCGCCACTCAACATTTACCAACATCGAAAAACTAAACTAAAGATTTTCTATAAGAGTGCTGGAGATCTACAAGTGAAATCTCAGTATGAAAGCAGGCAAAACTGAGTGAGTTTTGAATCTTTGAAACATTTGGGTTGAGAAATGAAGCCTCTATAAGTTTTTTATGTAAGTATGATTATAGAGAAAAAAGTATCTTTAGCAGTTTCCTTAACTCCAACAACAAAATAAACATTGCCATAGCAATCAGCGCGTCCGATAGCCTATCTACCATGTGTTACTGAGGTTCCTAGATTTCTGGAATGACAGTTACTTTTCGAACTGTACACCGTAGTATACCTGTCGGATCAGAGTCATTTTCGTATATTTGCTCTGGGGTGTCCTCCTTCATTATCTCAAAACTGCAGCTCTTTAGCTCATTCCACTCTCGAGTTATTCAAAAAACATTCAAGTGCATTCTATTTTGACGCCGATAGTGGAAAAGTCTTTTCCAACTCTGAGAAACAAAGTGGTGGTAGTTTGCTAACCTGCGTTTTATGATACTTCTGGATACACACTATCGATATACGATCTGAGTCATTACCCTCTGTGATAGTCAATTTTTTTCCACACAAACGGTAGTAGTTTTATGAGAATTACTCTAATACATGAATTGGCTCAAATAATTCCTATTAATACATAAGAAAAAGAAATTTATGGGAACAAGACTCACTAACGAAACTTCTTATAACCAAGATGTTGACTTCTTGCATTTTTCCAGTATGTTCTTGACTCAAGATCTTGGTAAGAAGATTTAAGAAATTCGTCCAGGATCTTCAACATCTTG